TCTAAGCAACAAACTGGCAACACTGAGGAGCATAACAGTCATTGAAAAGAGCCTGGACATAACGCACCAGGCTGTGATAGAGGGGGGTCTGGATGAGGAGAAGGGGTCGGAGGAGCACGATCCCGAGGTGGGGAGCTGGGTCACTGTAAGAAGGCGGGGGAGAGGGAAGAGCGCGAGAGAGGTCAGCCCTGATCTGATTCACCCCAATAAATTTGCCAAGTTGCAGGATGTTGGGGACATCAGTTCAGGGGGGACACTGCTGGAGCACGACTCATCCTATATCCGCAGGGGGAGTGAGTGCTCCGGCGAGGACGGGAGCAGGATGGAGGGTCAGGAGAGGCAGATCCTGGTGGTGGGAGACTCCATCATCAGGCGGACTGACAGGGTAATCTGTCATCGGAACCGTGAGCGTCGAACAGTGTGCTGCCTGCCGGGGGCTCGTGTTCGACACATTGCGGAACGAATTGACAGATTACTAGATGGGGTTGGGCACGACCCCGTTGTCATGGTGCACATCGGCACCAATGACAAAATAGGAGGAAATTGGAGTGTCCTTAAACAGGAGTTCAGAGACCTAGGTGCTAGGATGAAGGAAAGGACCTCCACGGTAGTTTTCTCAGAGATACTGCCGGTGCCAAGAGACACTCCGGACAGACAGCGCGAGTTGAGGGAGCTTAACAAGTGGCTCCGGAGCTGGTGTCAGAAGGAGGGATTTGGTTTCCTGGAGAACTGGGCTGACTTCTAACTCGGCTACCGGCTCTTCAGCCGAGACGGGCTGCATCTTAATGGGGAAGGTGCAGTGTTTCTGGGGGGGAAAATGGTAGGAAGACTGGGGGAGCTTTTAAACTAGATAATGGGGGGGAGGGCATAAAAATATAAAATTTAAGTAATAAAAACCTTAACATAAATTCATATAATAAAGAGAGAAGTATTAAAGGGGCAATTAGTGGGCTCACTCCAGTCACTAGTGCAAAAGCAGTGAATATAGTAAATCCGATAGCCACAAATAATATAATTAAGCCTGGCCAAACAATATCAAGTAAACCATTGTCCCATGACAATGAGGAATTAATTTTAATTAAATTAAAAAGACAGGAATTAAATGTATGTACACCAACGCGAGAAGTCTGGCTAATAACTTAGAAGAGCTTGAACTTATGATGCTCGAGGAGGACTTCGATATAGTGGGAATAGTGGAAACCTGGCTAGACAGCGCACATGATTTGGCCACCAATATAGAGGGGTACAACCTGTTCAGGAGGGACAGAGGTGGGAGAAGGTGGGGGGGGTATGCATTTATGTTAAAAATAATTTAAATATGCATATAAGGGATGATATCACGTCAAACAGTGGGGAGGAAGTGGAATCCTTATGGCTAGAACTGGATACAACGGACGGTAGTCGTAAACTTATTGTGGGTATTTGTTATAAACCTCCAAGTACAGGGGAGGAGGGGGAGGCTCATCTACTGTCCGAAATAGAAATAGCTGGGAGGGAGGGCAATGTAGTCGTGATGGGCGACTTCAATTACCCGGACATAAATTGGGCTAATGGAACCACAAGTTCAACAAGGGCGGGCCGATTTCTGAACATGTTGCGAGACAATTTCATGGACCAGATGGTGGAGGTCCCAACTAGGAAAAATGCCATCCTTGATTTAATCGTCACAAATAAAGTAGAATTAAATCGAGGATATTGTAATTGGGGAGACACTGGGTAATAGTGATCACAATGTGATTACTTTCAATATTGGATACAGGAAAGGGAAGTGGGTTGGTAGGATAAAAACCCTTAATTTCAGAAAGGCCAACTTTGATAAACTGCGCCACCTAGTGGGGGACATCAAATGGGAAAATTTATTTTATAAAAAAACTTAACTCGGACCAAAAGTGGGAATGTTTTAAAAACACATTACATATGGCCATTGCCAAATGTATACCATTGGGTAATTATTATTATTATTATTATTATTACATAGTAATAACAGTTTGCGCAGCGCTTTACAATATAAGGAAGACATTACAGTTACAATACAATTCAAGACAAGATGGTAAGGAGGGCCCTGCCCCTGAGGGCTTACAATCTAAAAGAGGAGGGGGAAATGATACATGAGGTAGCTGTGGGAATGAATTATGTGAGAATGTGAAGGTTCAGTGGTTAGGTTGCGGTGGGATAGGCAATAAGGTAATAAAAGTAAAATATCACAAACAAAACCTGTATGGCTGAATAAAAATGTAAAGCATCACATAAAGGAAAAGCGAATGGCTTTTATAAAATATAAGATAGAGGGGACGGCATTGGCGTTCCAGAACTACAAAGAAAGCAACAAAATATGCAAACTAGCAATACGGGCGGCTAAAATAGAGTGCGAAAGACATATTGCCAGAGATAGTAAAAAAAAAACAATGTATAAAACAGTCAAAAGGGGAGAAAGGAGCAGATAGGCCCAATAAAGGACGAAAGCGGGAAGTTAATTACAAATGACAAGGAGAGGGCAGAAGTACTGAACTCCTTCTTTTCCTCAGTATACACTCAGGAGGGAAACGGGTTTGATATACATGATAAAACACAGAGTTCATCACAAAATATAGCCAAGTGGTTGACGGAACCCGGGATACAACAAAGACTTAGTCTACTTAATGCAAATAAAGCAGTGGGACCGGTTAATCTGCACCCCAAAATACTTAAGGAACTAAGCACGGTTATAACAAGACCATTATTCCTCATTTTTGAGGACTCTCTAATGACTGGTAGAGTTCCGAGTGACTGGCGGAGGGCAACGGTAGTTCCAATTTTCAAAAAGGGGGCAAGATGCCAACCTGGGAATTACAGGCCAGTTAGTCTTACATCGTTAGTTTGTAAACTGTTAGAGGAAATGATTAAAGACTATTTAGCAGAATTTGTTCGGGATAATGGTATAGTTAGTGATAACCAGCATGGGTTTAGGAAAGATCGTTCCTGTCAGACTAACCTACTGACTTTTTACGAGGGGGTAAGTAGAGATCTGGATGGAGGGAGGTCTGGATGTGGTATATCTGGATTTCGCTAAGGCTTTTGATACGGTACCTCATAAACGCTTACTATACAAGCTGCGTCTATGGGCATAGATGGAAGGGTGTGTACATGGATAGAGAACTGGCTAAAGGAACGGGTACAGAGAGTGTCAATATATGGCGCCCTTTCAGACTGGACTAGTGTCATTAGCGGTGTGCCTCAGGGTTCTGTGTTGGGGCCCATGCTATTCAACCTGTTTATTAATGACATTGGGGTCGGATTACACAGCGATATCTCAGTGTTTGCTGACGATACCAAAATTGGCAGGGTAATAGAAACGGACCAAGATAGTGTAACATTGCAGGAGGACCTGGATAAAATAGGGGGGTGGGCAACTATGTGGCAGATGAGGTTCAATGTCGACAAATGCAAAGTTATGCACTTTGGGCTAAAAAATAAGCAAATGGGTTATACAATTATGGGTATGCCGCTAGGGAAGTCTGAAATGGAGAAAGATTTGGGGGTCATTATAGACCACAAACTGAATAATAGACTACAGTGCCAGGTTGCGGTAAGCAAAGCTAGTAGAATCCTGTCCTGCATCAAGAAGGGAATGTTTTGCAGGGATAGGTCTATAATTTTGCCACTTTACACATCACTGGTTCGGCCTCACCTGGAGTATGCGGTGCAGTTTTGGGCACCGGTGCACAGAGGGGATGTCCTTGAACTGGAGAAAGTCCAGCGGAGGGCGACCAAACTCATCAAGGGGATGGAGGACCAGAACTATGAGACAAGGCTACTAAATTTAAATATGTTCACGCTGGAAGTAAGGAGATTAAGGGGGGACATGATTTTCATGTACAAAATGTTCCATAGTCATAGCAACATTAGAAACAAACTCTTTAAGATTAATTCCGTAACGAAGACTAGAGGCCACCACCTAAAACTGGCAGAAAAAAAATTCAAACACAAGGGGCGAAGGGGGTTCTTCTCAGTTCGAGCGGTTAAGTTCTGGAACTCGTTGCCAGAAGCAGTGATTTCAGCTAATAGTGTGGAATCGTTCAAGAAGCTTTTGGACGATTTCCTGAGAGACTGTAATATACAGGGGTACAGGTACTCCTAAAAATTAGATGAATCGAGGACCTATACACACACACAAAATATATAATATATAATAACTATGTTATGTGTAGTTTCACCACAGCTGGAGTGCTAAGGTTGCCTACCCCTGATATAGTAGAGATGGATATAGGTACAAGGTGACCTGGCCACACCCTGGTACATGATCATCATTTTATACAGGCAACAGCAATCATATTGCATTACGTTGTAATCATGCACTGAGCGAGTTCTAGCATAAAAACTTAAATAAAATAGCAAATGTATTACTCCTATCTACACATCAGCCCTACGGCCTCAAGTACATGGAGGTTTTCTGTGCATCTGGGGATTCCTGCGGCAAGAACCGGAAGATTGTTACAGCAGGATTCCCAGGTGGGTCCATACAGATGTGGCTGCTATACCTATTCAAGTGAATGACAGGCTGACAATGGTCACATTTGTCCGCATGTAATCGTATATGGAACGATCAGCCTGTGGAACAGGATAGGTGTTTGTCCCTGGACCTAGACAGATGGTTCCTGGATCAATCATCTATCCCAAAAGCATATGTACGATCACATGCGGACAGCCAATGACAGATGCGGCCACTGTCAGCCTGTCATTCACTTAAATGGGCACTGCGGCTGCATCTGTACAGACCCACGTGGGATTCCTGCCACAAGAATCCGTATGTTCTTGCCGCAGGAAACCCCAGACGCACAGAAAAGCCCCGTGTGCATGAGTCCCAGGTGGGACAAATGTAGAGGAAAGCTTGATCTGGGTCCAAAACAAGAAGTGCCCCACCAAATAAGGTGTGGGAGCTATGCAGAATCAAATATGGAAAAACAAAAAAATGGAATATGAAGAAATCCCCCCCCCCCCCCCCCCCCCAAACATTTACTTACCTTTGCCATTTTGCTGCTGGTGTAATGTAGGTTTCAAAGGCTGTAAAGGAAGTAAAGGCTACATTATGAAATATGTAAACACTTCATGCATTGTTTTAAACAAAGGCCATTGCTGGCTGCCCAAAATCCTCTGCAACCATTCTGTCTTTTTGCTTCTGAGCAGTAAACTGCTTAACAGATATCACAAAACATACTTACAAAGTGAACCCAGTAATATAGTAGGAGGATACAGAGTCTCACACCCTGCTGACACAGGTAAGGTGCATACACATCAACCATCCTCCCTGCTTTTGTGTTCAGGTGACACCCGATAGCCACACACACTGGAGTAATAGGATTCTTTCAGCATTATTAGTCAGATGTAACACGCTGTCTGGACTCAGCAACCAGAGTGCCACTTCCACATCTAACAAGTGTAGTAACTAACTAGTTAAGAATCATCTTTTAGTTGTAAATGCTATAAACAAATCAACATACAGACTTATCTAAAAAGCTTGTTAACCAGCAGCAACCAAAATTTGCTGCAAGCTCCATTCGGGTGGAATATTTTCCAACATGTTCCTTCAGCAAAAGTCCATCTAATGATTCACTTGTGCTGAGGGAATAGGGTCATCAACAGAGCAAGTTTCAGGCAATTTCCTGATAAATCAGTCTAAATTTGCTCGATGTGTACCCAGCATGATGAATGCCACCGTATGGTACTCCGGTTTACACTGCTTTTTTGAAAAAAGGCACGAATAGTCTATGTTCATTGTTAAATATCAGTGTTTCTCAAACTTTTTTCAGTCATGGCACCTTTTAAAAGTATGTTAATATGTAAAAAATGGCATGTGCGCCCCCTCATCAATATCACACCCTTATCCTAGATAGGGGTCTGGTATGGATTTTAAGGGGGGGAGTAGAGTGTCCCCATTTAGATCAGAGTGCCCCTTCCACATCAAAAGCCCTCCTTTCAGATCAGTAGAAAGGCATCATGGCACACTCACAAACTAGCATGTAAAACAACTTGTCTCACCACTAAGGACAATGACAGAGGTTTGGATACACGTCTTCTGCAAAGGATGTGTAAGCCGCACTGCCGCGCCAAGGCACCTCTTATAGTGCGGTCCTAACTCTAAACTATGAGAGTGGGGGGGGGATTTATCAAAACTGGAGCAGACAAAATCTGGGGTAGATTTTGCATTGCAGCCAATCAGCTTCTCCATCTCATTTTAAAATCTTACCTGAGCAAACTGAAGAGAGATGCTGATTGGTTGCCATGGGCAACTGCTACAGATTCTGTTTGCTCCAGTTTTGAAAAATTCCCCCCACGGTGCCTGCATCCTACCGACAAAGGATGCTAAACAGCTTGGGCCACCTAGCAACGAATTCTCACTAACCTCTAGTGATGAGTCTGGGCCTGTTGTGAATAGTGATAGACCGAACTCCCCCATGTTCAGTTCGAATTTTAACTTTAGAAAAAATTTGAATTCGAACTCAATGCAAGTCTATGGGGCTAGAACTTTGAAAATCAATTGTCCCCATCTTGAAGGCTTACAGTATATGCAAGTTATTGGCCATAAAAAGGGTATGGGGATTCAGGTACTGCTCAGGGGGACATGTATCAATGAAAAAAAACACATTTAAAAAATACAGTTTTTAAAGGAGCAGTGTTTTTAACATCACTTAAAGTGAAACAATAAAAATGAAAAATTCCTTTAAATATCATGCTTGGGGGGTCCCCTTAACCTGCCTGGGAAGTGGCGCATCTGTACGATGTATAGAACCTGCTGCAGCAAAAATTACATTTAAAAAGAAAAAAAAAAAGCATGTGGTCAGGTGCAAGGCTTTAGCCAATCAGGGCTCACAAGGCACTGTGCGGTGCAGTTACTGACAGTGTGTTCGCCTCAAACATCGAGCCCATCGCTAGTTGTAAACCCAGTTTGCCAAAGTTTGCCCAAGCCTGCTTAAAACTGTGGCCTCTACCCCTCCTCCCAACCCAATCAGTAGTGGAGAGGTGCATTCCCCTCCCTGCAGCTATATGTTACAAAGGGGCTCAAAATGCCCACGCCGCAACTACTGCCACTGGTTGGGTCTGAAGGGCGATTGAGCGGGCCTGGGTGAACTCTAACAAACTGGGATTACCAGGCTCATCAGTACTGACCTCCTTTCTCGTTAACGTGTCTGCCTTGCACATACCTTAGATCAGCAAACAGGGATGCCAACCCAACCTTTTTAGTAGACAAAACTTTAAAAATGTACTAACAGGGCAGAGAAAATGCCCATTTTCTGCAATATATACAAATATTGCAGAAAATGGGCATTCAATCAGTTAGAGAAGGATAGGGGATAAGTGTATCCCAGATATGGGTTTTAACTGTATTTGGTTAAATGGAAACAGTGTGTCAGGAAGCCCGTACACAGCGGATGGCGCCTGCGTACGGCGTGACCCACAGTGTCAGGCCGGGCACGATCGCGTAGACGTCAGTGCGCGCTTCGCGCATGCGCACATCTGCAACGTATTGTGCATATTGTGGCGCCAAACGGGCTATTTAAGCTCAGTCCCTCCATGTCTCCAGTGCTGAGTACTCTTTCATCTTTGTGCCTTGTATGCTGTGTCTGTTTCCTATCGTGTAGTTTCCTGTTAATGACCCCGGCTTGCTCCTGACTCTGCTGATCTTCTGGTATCCTGACCCTGGCCTGTCTGACGATTCTCCTGCTTCCTGCCTGTTCCTGTATTACCTGCACGTTATCGAACCCGGCCTGTGACTTGACCACGATTATTGCCTCTTGTCTTATTTCTCTCCCGCCTGCACGTTGCCGACCCGGTCTGCCTGACTTTGAGGATCTTCTGCCTGCCACCCTGCTGGGTGTTTATACTGCGTTACGCAGCAAAGGGCCCAAGGACTTCCACCGGGCACCCAAGTCTTCCTTCCGGCACTCGTGCCCCGCTACCTGTATTTACTACCAGGCCTTTTGGGACCAGAGTTGCAAGAGAGAGGCCGCCCTCGTCGTCATCTCAAGCTCCTTCCGGTACGTGACACAGTGTAAGTACATGAATTTGGCTTGGTATCAATCTTTTGCAGTCCACTGTAAAGCAGTGCTAAGATTGTAACAGGGAGAAGCAACACAAATAGCCATTCAGTTGTGCTACAGTGCAAGGAGAGCATATGATAGGAGAGAGCAGAGTAACAGTTAGATAACCTTGTCATTATGCTTACTTACACCGAGACTTGATGGCCAGGTAACATCTGCCTGCCACCGTAGACATGAGATGGTCACCCAATGTGACCATAACAGCTGCATGTCATCTCATGTCTATGTATTAACTTATAAGTGGTAAGGCAAATACTGTAGTCACTATGCAGAAGCACAGAAACGGTACAGACCATCTGAGCAGTAAATAAAGCTGACATGACCAAAATGATGTTACATGTGATATCAGGTATAGTGCATAGCTATATGTCATTATTATGGATTGATGTATCTCCTATTCATATGAAGCAATAATGTTTATTAAGTGGCTTAGACAGTGAGCACCCTTTGTCCCTGTTGCAGCAGTTGAGCTCAGCTGCTGATACTAGAGGGAGAGAGAGTAGGCACAGCCAGGGCATGCGCGGCTTTTGAGCATTCAACAGCTAAAGTGTCCTAGAAAATAGACAAGTGGGGGGCTGCAAATTAGGAGTTTTTTTTACAGGCTTTGGGGGACCGATATTACTTACAGGTATGCAACTTAATTTAAAAGGAGTTCTTCACAACACAGTGCATTTACATCTACTGCAATGAACTAACCCTTTCATTGCAGAAAAAAAGGTCTTCTGTCCCACCAGAGAAAGCTGTGTTGTTGGGCAGCGCTGTGTAAATTTTAGGACTGGATGGAAATAAATACAAATCCTTCGGCAGGTAAGACAGCTTCTATATATGTATTTAATCTATACATTCAGCTGTTTGCTGAGTATAGTTTTAACTGGTCACATTTTTTATTTTTATGTTGGTATGCATTTCATGTCACTTTCATTTCCAGTAGGAATTATTAGAAACAGCTCTCATGGAAATATTCTTTTAAATAAAACCAGTAGACATGTGCACTGGCAACAAATTTGTTTCGTTTTGATTCCGAATTTGCGTTATTTCGTTTTTCGGGATTCGGATTCTGACAACATTCGTTAGCGGTAGTCTGGACGAAATTTCGCTTGTTGGACGAAATTTCATTGCAGCAAAATTACATTAGAATTTTTTTTTTTTTTAGTCTGCAGAAGAAAAAAAAAGCTTGAGGTTCTCCCCCAATTGATGCCAGACCCTTTAGATCTGGTAGGAATGTTAGGAGGGACCCTCCCCCAAGTTAAAACAGACAAAAAAAGTTGTACTTGTACCCCTACCCATTCACTAAAGGGTTAAATCAAATAGTTATTAAAAAGTCCAGACAATTTTTGACTATTCCTTTAATTAAGGAAAAAACTACCGCTAACGAATTTCTGAAACGGAAATTCGGATTAGTTTGCATTCGTTATTTCTGTAATTCGGAATTCGGATATATCCGAATTTCCGAAATTTTGTCTGAATTTCGATTCGGAATTAAACAACTCGCACATGTCTAAACACCAGTAGAGTTCTTTGGACTGTAAAAAGTCCTACATCAGATCTTACTAGAAAACTACAATATCCTTGTATATCTTCTGTCAGATAAATAATAATTTCAGGGTTTAGTGCCCAGATGCTGTAGAGCTGGAAAGTTACATGATGTGGTTGCCACGTATGCAAGCACAGTCCTTTCCATAACAGTACAGGCCCCAAGTGTAATAGAATAAGTAAATAGAAATTAAATATGTATGCAAAGAAACACATTGCATACAATGGAACTTTATAGTACTGCATAAAAAAACAAACATTTCATTAAAAATTATATTGACAGAAATGGTAATGACTCATATCTGGGCAAGTCAGATTTTCAACCCTAACCCTTTCCTACCCTCTAGCGCCATTTTTTTTTACCTACCTTTATCCTATTTAAAGTGAAACTGTGCCCAAACCATGCACACTCAAGTATTCTTATACTCTGGA